GGTAGTAAGCGGTAATTATAAATGATTTTAAGAAAATAAATCTGAAGATAGGGTAGGTGATGAGTACTAACTGGAGGTATGCAGTTTAGAATCGAAGAGCCTGGCATACTTGCAGCCGGTGTATAGGAGCATTTCAGTAAAATTATTGACCTCGAATATCTACATCGATTGATCGGTGGTCTTGGTAATTTCGATATAGCTTTTAACTTTCGCCAAAAGGAAAAACACATTTTAGTAAACTCTGTGAAAAAGATGTAAGAACATTGTGGAAAAGATGATCACTTCCCTTTTTTTTCCCACTAGTAACCCACTGTACTTCAAAAAGCAAGTATATGAGCTTATGAGGCAAAAGTTTTTAGGTGAGTATATAACGCCGTACGAGCCAGAAAACACACCAATTTTGGAGGTAAATTTTTTAGTTTATTCTTTTTTATTCAGATGCGGCCCATCAGTTGTTTGGGCATTTGATTTTTCACGAAACACATTAAGTTTTAGTCGAAAGTTGTTCTCATTTCTCTGAATTCTGTGCGGAGGTTCCTGTTATATTTGGGCATTAATGGTTTAGACCACAAGCTTATATTTGTTTTTACTATTGTGGAATGATTGGAAGTTTTTACAGATTTTGGATGGATTTTTGATATATTTCACAATAAATGGTGAAATTCTGTATGTGAGCGAAACAATAAGCATATATCTGGGACTTTCGCAGGTCACTTTTTTATTCGAAAATCTGTGCGAGGCTTTCAAAAAGATATTCTAATCCAGCACCCTATTTTCCAGTTTCCTTTTTGCACCAGCGTAGTTGAATGTTTTTACATTTTTTGCGTTTCTGCTTCATACTAAAATCGAGTGGTTAACTAATGTGCGTTTGTATGATCAATCAGACGTTGGTGCTTACTTGCCACGACAGCTCCACAGATTGACCACTTCAAAGAATTTATACTAAAATATACAATTTCTGGGCCAGCAGAGTCGCCCACAGTAGTAGTCTCAGTCCTGAATTGGACACGGTACATCGGCCCTTCTCTGATTCGTTAAAAGCGCGGTCCATCGACTCGTTCTTCGATCTCTTGAGCATGGTTCGTTGACTCGCATCGTAA